TGGCGTGTTTAGTGTAGGTGACAGCATCACAGATCTCATTTTTCAGGAACACCTTCAGCACACCTCGTAAATCAAACCGGAGATACGTCAGACACCGCCACGGCGAGCCAGACGACGGATGGTGGTTATCTCGAAGAATTTGCGTTTGGTTCTGAACATGGCGATGAGTGTGCAAAATATTACGCAATTCCATCCTCCCTATTCACACGCGCCCGAGGATCGGAGGCGAATGCCACTTCGACTTGTTTCGTCTACTTACTACTCTCTGACGACTGTGTTGGGGAAGCAGCATATGCATGTAGGTAATTGGTGGATTTGTTAGTTAATTCGACGCTTTTGGACAATGCTGAACATTTACCAGTTTTTCAATAGTTTCTTGTTGAAAATCAACATTCGAAAGCATTGTTATCAATGCGTAGCCATATTTCTGATCGATTGGTGATAAAATTATTGAAATTGGACCAGAGGTAGCTGAGTTATTAACGTTCAAAATCTTTCTTAATTTGTTACATGTTCCATTTTCGGTTTTCACAAAGTGTACCCCCATATAGAAATCAAAGACGTAGTCCTACGTCAAAATATAGTCAAATTGAAGCTGAAAGCATAAAGAATCGTTTGCATGCATTCAGCGAAGTGTTTTCGTAAGAAAATCCAGTGAAAATAGTGTTTCAATTTGGATTGCCGAAAATAGTCTGGCATGCCGAAGCCGTCATTTCCCCTATATACTAAAGGGTTTAATGAAAAACGCTAAGTGCGCGAATTATTACTCATATGCTATCTATGTTTTGTCTGCTGCTAACCCTCTCGTTGTCGCTGATGGATGGTCGCCTCGTGGAAAGGAATGGGAATGCTGATATACAGAAATATGATTATGCATTGTTGTTGTTGTTGTTGCTGTTGTTGTTGGTGCTGGAGTGTCTTATTCTTGCTGATATCGACTGAAGTTCCTGTCGTTAGTGTCGTTGCTGTTTCTCGGATTTGTTGAATTGCTTGTAGTTTTGGGTTCTGGTATGATTTCAGGAAAGTGCTGTACTTAACTCATAATCTTAAAAATCCGTTTAAACGAACCCTGTCCCAAAATCGAACGGCTTTGTGGTTTTGTTGTCAAAATCGTACCATGCCAAAGCCGAACATGTACCGTACTCAAAAATATTTTGTCTATTTAGAAAAATACAATGGAAATGCACAAATAGTTTCTTGCTTAGAGTTTACCATTTCTTTATACTATAAGTTGTACTTTAACGGATAAATGCTTTTAAAAACTCTATCATAAATACTCATAAATTAGTGCAAGATTGACTCCTTCTTGGTATATCGAGCTGTTCTTTGACATATAAAAACTTTTGAAAATTCCATCTGAAAATTATCGAAAACAACATCTTTCTTAGATTTTACTCCTTCTTTCTGTTCTGAGCTGTATTTTGACAGATAAAATCCAATCTAAAATGTCTCAAAAGTAACACCTCTCTTGGAGTTGATTCCTTGTTAAAAGCATGACCTATTATTTGACATTTTTCTTTTATAAAAAATCAATTTCTCTTTAAGTTGACTCCTTCTTTGACAAATACCTATATATTTTTTTTAATTCAATCGAAATAATCACAAATTATCTTTCTCTTGGACTTGACTCCTTCTTTGTATCATGAGCTGTTCTTTGACAGATAATATCCCATCTGAAATTCTCCCTGGGTTGATTCCTTGTTTACAGCATGATCTGTTATTTGAAATGTTACCAATTGTAAAATGTGAATTAACAATTAATTTACTATGGCAAGCATACATCCAACAGCAAACATATATTTGAAAAATGTTAGTTAATTTGATTATAAAAATTGTGGCAGCTGCCCATTATGGCTATCGTACATTATGGCTAACGTCAACATACAAAAATAACAGTATGACAACGTTCATTCCGGCACTCGTCCGTATGGCAAACGGCCGTATGGCTAACGTATGTATGGCGAATGGGGTATCATCGGGATTAACACTAATCCAATATGACATATTCCAGTTATGTGGAAGTCTGATAAATCCAATGAAAATGCTATGATTGAAAATGTGTGGACTAAATGATACATTTACATTGTTGATAAGTTAATGACTATTATCTGATCATCATATGATAAATGAAAATCGGTCGAATTATAAGAATTAACTGAAATAGATTTGAAACTCATAAGCATTAGCTTTACTTTTCACTACAATGTCATATGCATATCATTAATCAATCTAATTAAAGTTTATATGAAAATCACGGCAGGAAAACAGGAACTAATCAGAAAACACAAAAATTTAGTCGACAAAGTTGCTTAAAGCTTTGTCCAAGACTGCAAATGGCATGTTAAATTTTCATTTGGTGACGGTCGAAGCGCGCCGCTCATAAGCGCGCTGCAACCCCGCCCATAAAGATTATACATAGGTGTGTAACTTAGATAGTATTTTATGGCAGCGACTTGAGGAGCGAATCCTGGATAAAGTTCCACCGTGTGTTAAATCAATGGGCACAGTCGTGTGTGGCAGGATAATTTTTCAAGATGGGATTATACCATCTGATTTCTGTTTATGGCCATACGACTGTGCCCATTGATTTAACATACGGCAGCTCTTTATCGAGAATTTATGGGTGGAATTGCCGTTACCAAATGAGAATTTATCATAAGCGCGATAAAATGTTGTTGTCAAAATTATTTTTTAAAAGAAAAATCAATTAAATTCATATCGTGGCTAAAATTTACAAGTAGTTATAGTGCAATTGTTACGTTCTTGAAACTGGTATAATCATTTAAACCCGGTAACGACAGTGGGTCCATCGTCATGGAAAGCATAACGAGCAAAACCGGTTGCTATTAGGGTATGGAACCTCTTATAACCTCAAACCTCAAATCTACGAAAGCTTGTCCAGGGCTGAGTCAAATATATTGGAAAAATAATTGAAAAGATACCTTCTAATCAGGGCTGGCAAATTTCATTTTCAATGAAAGATCTCCCGCGATATTTACAGAGATATTTCATCGCATGAGAAAACGATGACAGAGACTTTCTTCAAATCTCATCGAGTTTTTTGTCATGACAGAACGTGACTGTAGAACGTCGGGATTACTAGATCATGTATTGCTATTTAAGTTACTTGTACCGAGAAAATTTTAAAAATATATTCACTCTACCGATTACATACGGTTCCTTGCTTAAATTCATCTAAATCAGTTAGAATTTTTGATGTCAAAATAGCATAAGAATTATGCTCATGAGCGCGTGATCATTGGAAAATGGCAAGAAAGCTAATGATCGGTCGCTTTGTCTCGTGATAGTGAGAGGACCTGCTTACTTATTGTCACATGACGGCCGTGATATTTATCACCTTTGCTTCTAATTTCTGCATCTGCAAACCACTTCAGCTTGCTAGCTATAAAGCAGCGGTTCTCAAACTTTTGGCGATTGCGACCCACTTTGAGTGAATTCCATAGGCTCGCGAGCTCCCACCAATATTGAATACAGATTAAAGGCCAAAATGAACGTAAAAGCTCAAAAATGGCTTCAATATGCTAAAATACAGCCTTTATGCTGCATGAGTACCTAAATTTAAAAAAAATGCCAGGTCATAAATAAAATTAATAAATTAAAATTTCAAAATAGGATTTCTGTGCAACATCACTTAAGATTTGAAAAATTTCTTGTCGTTTTGTGCGAAATAATAAAAGCAAAACATCGACGAGAGCTTTTTGCAATCTGAAGTGATGTCTTAGAGAAAAGCATTTTCAACATTTTTATGCACTCACTAGGTTACTTTCACCTTTTCATTTACTATTCAGAAATCGAGATTTTGTTGCGAATTAATCAAATTCAATATTTTTGACAAGCAGCCTCCAGGCAGAGTGAATGTAGAAAATCATTGCGCGTTACTGTGGATCGTTTAATAAATCTCATGACAAAACTTACGAAAAAACTGGTTGGAGCATTTGAATATTTTCAGATCTCAGCAGCATTATCAAGATTGTCAATCTTTTAAAATATGTCAAGACTTTCTCAAAAAATTACAACCTATTGCCATCTCTTCACTCATACCTAAGTTCATGCACAATCGTTTCCAAATTGGCCCCGGATCCATTCGCCTTGAAACGTATGCTTATTGGTTGTAACCTGGCATCCCAAGTAACTATTTGGGTTTTATCATGCTTTTAAAAAGAACAAAGAAGCGGTGATTATTTTCCTTTTAATTCCACTTAGTAATTTGCATCCATGACCTATGCGTATTTCAACTACAATGCACTGGCACCATTTGTGTCATTCCCACTAAATACCTATTGAATTCTAACACTCTTAATTACTCTCCATGTCAAGATCAGGTATAAAAAGGAATCTACAACGTGAAGAATCGAAAAAAAAATATCTTATTATTTGTTAAGATTTAAGTAAAGATACAAAAAACTAATTGAAATCAACTGGAAAACAATAATAGGAGTATTGATTTATTTGTTCACCATCTTTGGCATAATAACCACACAGACTGTTTAAAAACACTTAATTCTATTATTACAATCTAGTCTACAAATATTCAAATTAAATACCTCATAAGCGCCATTAAATAGTCCAGAGGATTGTTATATCTGGATGCGGTGCGGTACCCGGGAGTCCATAAAAAGTAAATGTTGCGGAATTGCATTCCGCTAATAACCCATTTCATAACTTTCAACGGCATAATATATTAAAAGTGAACAAGTAACCTAGGATCATAATTTGCGTTTGTAATTTGACGGTTTACGAGAAATGCAAAATCGAAATGTTACGAATTCCATCAGCATCCCTCGTCCCGTCAGAATTAACTACCAGGGGACCCCAGCACCTCCAACTTGCCCAACAACTTTTTTAACCATTTTTCCAAACCACCACAATGTTCTGTTTACCATGTTATTCGACATGATTTATCACATCTGTAAGCACATTGGATTGGTAAGCATGTTTTTAATATTTTTTATCTCTCGTAAACACTTGTCCCGTTGCAGCTGGCAGACCACGAACAGAGACTGAACGGATCAACTTCACGCACAATGGCGGCTATATCATTAGGTTTTATAGTAATTATCACCCCCTGGACGATACAGGAGATTGTGGCAACATGCACAGGATCAAAGGTAAGAGGAAAACGGGAAAATTCAGTTGACGCATAAATTTGTTCGACGAGTATGTGCACCATTAACAGCAGAATGCTCCCGTGAAGTCATCGTCCGGATTACGGGAGCTACACTCAGGAGAACAATTTGAATTCATTTGCTTGCATGCATGTATGTGACGAGCAATGTTTGCATATTTACACTTGAATGCATTTTTGCCGAGCTTCGAGATGCACTTCACTCTTTAGTGCTTTTGGTAGAATAACACATTAATTGAAAGTTTGTTGAACTACGAAGAGCGTTGAACAAACACGCAAGGGTGTAAAACGCGATAATCGTTCTGCTCGTTACTTTGGTGCAAGTGTGCCATAAATATGATTTTGATCCGTGCGAGCTGATAACCGACAAATGGTTTTCGTTTTTGTTTTTTTTTTCTCTTTTGCAGATACCAACATCGATCGATTTCTTCGTCACATGGATAGCATTAAGTAGTAGCTTTTGGAATCCTTTTCTCTACTGGCTCCTGAATGCCAGATTCCGGAGAATTTGTAAAGAAATGTTATCTTCTAAGGTAGGCTCGCTTTGCTTTGCTACATGTTGCATCTTTTTTCGAACCAATTATTTTCCATCCACCACGCAGTGCACCAGTAGCCAAACCTCGCTGGACGAAAAGAGTAGTATAAGCCTAGAGTACGATCAGCACATGACAACACTGCCGCTTCCACCGGGTCCACCTCCGGCGACAATTTGCCGCTCGACGAACCACACACCCCGACCGGACATCGAGTGTCCAGAAAAGTACTGGGACGACGTCCTCGAGCGAACGTTTAGTACCGGTAGCATCAATGCCCTTCACCGCAGTACCTCGTCCAGTTCAACCGCGTACCATCAGACGACTCTCCACAGACACCACCATCGGCACCGGCACCACCACCCACAGCAGCACAATGGCAACGGCAGCAATCATCACAGCAGCAATAGCATCCACAAGTCAACGATCGAACACGGTAAGGACAACAGTGACTTCACTGTGATCTTCCCGACGACCAATTCGGACCCGGCCATGTCTTGCGAACATGAACTGCACGACATCAACTGTGCCAAAAATCGGGCATTTTTCCTTGGTTTCAATCACCACCAAGCGCTACCAGATACCTAGTATCGTAGGGTGCGAACCGGGCGATGGAGTAGGATTAAGCTGTTAGTGATGCGGATTTTATAAAAAAAAAATGTAAGAACACTAAGCAAATCTGTGGCAACCGATTTTTGTATGATGCTGCACCTCAGTAGGGTAAAGGTAGGGTAAAGTAAATTGGATCAAAATCAAATTCGAGTCGTGTAGGAACAAAAAGTGCTTCGGGAGAAAGTTCAGGCTTTCATTTCTAAGGAATGGATAACTTCGTAGTCATGTTAAACAAATGCGAGAAAAAGATTTTACATTTTGAATTTCAAACTAGCTATTCTGGAAAAATTGTTTTACTTCTTTGAAATCAAAATGCAATGTTAATTGTATTATGGTTTCAATTCACTATTATTTTATTATGATCTAATTTAAACTTTATGATTTGATAGGTTCTCCTCGAAGCACTCCGTTGTAGATAATCGTTCAGCATTTTGTAAGTGTGTACGGGAAACTTGTGTTGTTCAGTTTTCATCTCCATTAAACATGAGTTCGGATTCACAATCGATTCCGGAGGCTGGTCCTTCCTCATCTATTTCAAAAATTCATCACATCCTGTCGAAATTATAGATCAATTAAACAAAACATGTTAATATCGGAAAAAACAATTAGCCGAACGATAATTTTTCATACGAGTTCGTTCACCTTTTAACCAAACATAAATCCGAATATCCGTATAGCAGATATGTGTTTTCCCATGATAGTTAACTGAAGCGATGAACAGAATAAACCAATTAAAATGATTTTTAAAAAAATTACGCCTCCCATTTCCTTGTAGGAAAGAAATTCCCCCAGCCGCTTTCGATTTTCAGACGTGTAAACACTGCATAAAACCCGCAAATTAATCGCACAACAAACGATCTCACACTCACAAGCACACGCACATTCATTATTATCTCCCGCAAACAACAGGCGCTTCCCGGATAATAAAGCATTACCCGCTCGCTCGATCAGCCGAGATGAGTGCTGGGTGGGTGTTGCTTGAATAGTGTGACAAAACGCACGGTGGCCGTTGATGGTTGCAATCGACGGTGTGGCGAAATTAATCGTTTCGATCAATATTTAATGCCCACGGAGGATACAATGCGAGAGCTGGTTAATGTTTCCATTGGTTTCAACCAATCGGCTAGCCCCAAAGTGCATTGCAAAGAACTGCAGGCAATAAAAAAAATTGTAACAATACAAGGTATGTAGAGCAATGTGATCCACGGTGATTAAGGGAGATTTATTTTAATGCCCCTTTTGTACGCGAATCATTGTTCTCTATAATGATCGAATGGGTAAATTCCGCTGCCTACCACTGCATTGTAGCCTGTCGTCAGAACCGTGGCTTCTGTATGCGGTCAATTGATTGATTTTTTTTTCTTGTTTATTGTACATGTATCAGAAGCATTTGTTAAGGATAAATGAGTAGCGGGTGCGATGTGGTCTAGGAAATATTAACCGTTATTAATTGAACGATGTAGGCATACTTTGTTACCTCGGTTGCCAATTTTAACGCTTTGGTATATGCGTCAATTAAATTTTGTTATTATAGTGGGATTTTATTTTCAGATTTTAATTTAAAAAAAAAATGCCACGGCTTCATTATACATCATGCAATATTTTGCTTGAGGCTCATAATCATTCTCAAATCACTGAAACAACCATGGACGAATATTCATTTTAATCTACGATTCCACACACTATAAATAACATTTTACACATTAGAACATCTTATCGACCAGAATAGATTGTGCATATGTTTAGGAACAACCGAATTTTGGGGCAACAAAGCAACAGGATCGAGGAGTTAATGTTTCGCAATTCCGGCAGCAACAACGGTAAACGGACAAATGATTTACATGTTTTATATATTAAATATTTTATATAATTGCCACCAACGCCGGCTAGGCGTATCCTATTGTTTTCCCTCCCTACTAACGAAATGCCACCCTTCCCGTGACACTTATGAGGGGTCGTAGAGTTCTCTGCATCTCTCTTAATTAAGTGTCGGACTAACATTCCTCTCCCATCCCCACCAGATGCAAGGACGTGGACAGGACAGCTCTAGTCTGTTGGAGGGAGGCTCATCCTATATCTAAGAGGTAGTGGTTAACCACAAATTACTATCTAACAGCACCGGATAAAGATGGGTCTCCTCCTTAACCACAGTTTGAAGCTCGAACCACCTACGACATTGTGCATCCTGGTTTATGCTATGTTATGTTGTGTAATATTTTGCTTGAGGCTACATAATGGTGAGTTGACAATCTAGAAGGAGCATGATACCATGCATCGGTCCTAACAAGTTCCTTCCTCACGCCTCCACGAGCCATGTGATTACAAACGACTGACACCTGAAACATGGACACATCACATCATTTAGTTCTTGCAGTTTTTATAAATGTCTCCATACCCCCTCCATAGCAGTGCTGCAAAATCTCGACAATACACGATGATATTCACAAATCTACTTTGGTCACTCAGTTAATCTAACAGTCATCATCAAGGCAAACAATGCCAATTTTCAGTGACAATGATGTCAGTGACGAACATGTGTAGTTTTTTTTTATTAACTAAATTTGTAACTAAATTATATGACTTGAGCAAAACAATTATATGGAGTCGTTAAAATGAACAAACATCTACGTCCTGAACTGCTTGGATAACAATAATTTAACACAGAATAAACGGAATTTAACCTTTTTTTTAAACAGGTGAATCTTTGTCTTTGATGAAAAAATTAATCAGATTTTAAGGAAGGTTTTTTGATCCTCAAAAGTCTGTCAGTGACTATGAGAAAACCAATTTTGTCAATATCGCGCGAAAGTCTGTCAATGACAATGACAAATCTCAGCACTTCCGCTGAGTTGAAGTTACCCTTTCTCTCAAGTAGTAAAATTCTTCTTTATTTTGATTTGTTATGTGGTTTATAATTGCTAATACAGGACAAGAGGTTAGCCAGAAGGGCTCTTCATCTTTGGTGAACTTTTTGATTTAGTGTTGTAAATGTTGTTTTTTACTGTGTAATGTTTTTCAATTTTCTTCTTGTGAAGTATGTTTTTTGAATGTATTAATTTGTTATTCTACCTACTTAACCTAACTTAACCTAACGTGCCAGATCCCTGACGATCTGTTGATCGGATCGCCTACAGCAATCTCTGAACCTTGCGATGGAGTCAGCTCTCCGTAACTCCAGTGTCTAAATACCAGCCAGGCGGTGGACCTCAGAATTTCTAGTCCACGGGGGAACTGTTAAGGATCATCATAAGGATCTTATTTTGGTACTATTTCTCTCTCTCTCTGAGTTCTTCTCAGTGGTTATGAGGGTGGCTTATAGCGAATTCGTTTATTAGTGCGAAACCGAACTTTTTGTCAGTGCAAACCTCAACCTGAGCTAGGTTTTAAACACAAACAAGCAAACTGACGTTTGTCTAAAAGCAATCAGACCCAATCTTAATACCCGATCCAGGTTGGAACTGAATAATAAACGAATTCGCTATTAGTCAAATTCGGCAATATCAAAGTGAGGAGGTGCGACGTAAACATTGGTGCGGTACCCGAGCTGGAACGAATATCTCGATACCAGATACATAAGAGATAACATTAAAAAATAAAAGGGTTGTGTCCTACACACGACCGCAGTATAACGTAGAACTACGCAAAATTGATGTATGCCATGCATTTTTGACTATTATACTTTGTCTTAATTTTTTTTTTCAGTAGCTAAATCATTAGTATTAAATTAGGTCTCTGAATCCGAGAAGAGAGTGAAGGTTGCATTTTATGATAACGCAACAAGCAGTTGTTTTCCTTACCAGAAGACGGTACTTCAATATTGAACAAAATGTTGGTTCATATGTCAACGAAGAAGGGGAGGAAGGGGTATTACGATCCTACGGGGTTTAAACATCTCTTTGTTCTCCAATTTGGAGGACAACCCTAACATAAAGTTATCATGCATCATCATTATGTAGTTTACAGCGTGTTCGTAGAATGATGCAAAATAGAATACTGTGACTTTTCTGAACTCAAACGTTTGGTTTCCAATAAGTAGATGCTTAGTACAACATTTATTAAAAATTAGAGGGATTCAATTATTGAATTTCAAAGTCAGAGCAAAAGCTCGTGTGAGGCATGAGGCAAATTGCGACCTCAAACTAATAAAACTTATCATGTGACACCTTGAATCACATGAGAATTAAACAATTAGTTCAATTGTAGTCATTCGGGGGGCCCTGGCCACATTGGCCACATCTGGCCATGTCTCGATCCCCTCGGAAAAGTGGCCAGTTTCTGAATATGATCTAAAACCATTGAATCACATTAAAATTCAACAACCAGTGCAATGACAGTTATTAGAAATAGCCAGGATCCAGCCAATTTCTGGAAACTCCTAGGAAAGTAGCCAGTATTAGACTTGGATCAAAATCAATTATGCGATGCTTCAAATCACATGAGAATGTATATACTTCCTCTATGCTCTGTTTAAAAAAATGTTGTGACTAGCAAAGTAAACAGAAAATTATGTTGCTGCGCGCGAAGGAAATTGCAAACAAACCGAAGCATTATTATTAAATCAATAAAATCAATGCAATAATAGTCTGCTAGATTAAGTTTACATCTTTTAGTAGTATTATCTGCACAAAAACTTTGAAAGTGTAAGTAATTATTCCGCTTGTGAGCGTTCTAAAGTGAGCCAAGTTCATGGGAAAATTAGTTAAAAGTGAGTGAGCTATGTTTATCATTAAAACAGATCTTTTTCTTCATAGTAATGAGCTTTTATAAGAAGTTTCTTAGACTTTCTTGAGCTATATTAGCGCTGGTAAAAATAGGTCCAAATGTTTTTACAAATTAATTTGAATTCCTCCAGCGTCCCAACCAGTAGATGGTGAACAGACCCCCCCCCCCCCCTTCTTAGGGGTGTTAACATCTATGCGGATTTGCTAGTGCCACGCCGTCCGAAGCGATAATAAGCAGAGACACGACAGCTGTTTTATATCTTTTCAAGTTCAAGCAGAACGGTGTGGAACCAAGTGGTACTCGATTATGACGACTGGGTTTGGAGAAAACGTTTATTTCATGAAAACAGTGATAAAATTATCATTTGTACATTTTTCAAAAATTTTATATATATAATTTTGAAAATACTTATTTCAGCAGATTTGTAAAGTAATATCCTATC